TACCATGGTGTATGCTATAAAGTGGCGGCCCAGTTCACAAATCATTGTTTCAGAACTTTTGAACTTTTAGGTGAATGATGTTCCATTGGGACTGAAATATTATGACAGGTCAGCCTAATTTTAGTTTTTTTGTTGGGGTTGTCGTCTTAAATTTTTTTTTTTTTCTGGTCTGTCCATCATTGAAAGAGCTCGGGATTTCTCATATTAAAAACCTTCGACAGCATGTAAAAGCTTCTGGTTTTGTGGATCTTTTCCTTGTAAACTCAAGTCAATTATTCATTTTATCATGCTTTGTAAAAGAATTATAAAATTCCTTATTACTTAAAACTCTGCACTGATATTAGCTCTATTGGGATTTCTTTTATTTCTTTTAAGCCGATTTTCAGTGAAAAATTCACTTCATGGTGTTTAAGAAATACTTTCTGCATCTTGTCGGCATGTTTTGGGACTTTAACTGTCCCTGTTTTTCCTAGAATTTGTTTGGCTTGTGTAATTTTTAGTTTCTTTTTCTTAGACAGAGAAGTCTATCCAAATAATTTTATGGATTATAAATAGAGGATGGGGTTAGTTATTAGAATTTAAAACACATACATATTGAATTTGAAATCCTTAAAGTCAGGTGGTATATTTTTATATTAAGTGGGTTATTAAACATCTTTGTGCCACCCAGACTATATTTTCCAAGGATGATGCTAATAGGAAGGCATGTATTTTTGTTCTGGCTGCTGAAGTTTAAAGTGGAAGGTAGTTTAAAAAAAAAGAAAGAAAAGGAAAAGGAAACACGATGCTTGATCTTGTCCATGTACTTTCCAACGTCTGATGCTGCGTCAATTTATGTTTGGAGGATTTACATACATATACCACTCAAGTCCTATGTATTTACATTTCTAACACCTAAACTTTAATTTTACATACATATAACATTACCTATGCATTAAAATGTGTATTTCACCTTTTAAAAGTTAAAATGATGGTGTTTTTAATGTGATATGAAAGGTTTGGAAGGTATAGATGTAAAAATCGAAGTTTAAGTATTATTTATGTAAATACATAAAACTAATGAAATTATTGTTAGGATAGGATATTGGAATATATGTACTTTCAATGATAAATTAATGAAATTAGTTGATATTATGATTCATAGAAAGATTAACACTTTATGTATTTGAAAAAACTAAATGGGTTGGAGAAAAGGCTAAGGAGATTGATAATTTAGGTTTTAAACTTTGGTATTCTGGTAAGAGTCGCACTAGAAATGGTGTAGGTGTGATTATAGATAAGATTTTGAAAGATAATGCTGTAAAAATTAATAGAGTTGGAGATAGAATTATAGTTCTTAAGATTATCATTGATACTGAGATTTTTAATATTATAAGTACTTATGCTCCTCAAGTAGGTTTAGATATAGAGTCTAAAGATAAATTCTGGAATGACTTAGAAGACTTAATACAAATGATACCTCTTGAAGAAAAAAATTTTATTGGAGGAGATTTAAATGGACAT